TTCTCATGAAGCTTGTTGTACTACCATGAAATAAATTGAACTGTTCTAAAAATGTTTAAGCTTGCGTGAACTTTTGGACATATGTGAAAACCTCAATAATTTTCTTAACATCTCTAAAGTTCTCTGAAAATCTGGGAACTTCTTGAAATTTCCCGCTTATTTAGTGAAACTAATTGAACTGAACTCCACTGAAACTCCCTTTGTTTTTGAAGCTTTACTAAACTTATTTGAGATGCTCCCGAAATGTCTATACAAGTTCCTAAAGTTCTCGGATCTTCCCTTAACTTCCATAGACTTTTATGAAGTTCTCGCAATGTTTCTGAAGATATCTGTACTTCTGTAAAATTTTCGAAGTTATTCTGAAATTTCAGGAACCTCTTTAGGCTTCCGCTCCGCAGCGAAATAATTAATATTGTTCTATGATTTTCACTGAAGTTCTCAAGATTTGTCTGAAGCTCAAATTATCGAAACTAATTCATAACTTCTTCGATAGTCTAGAGTTTCCTGATGTTTTTAAAACTGCCCAAAATATTTCCCAATTTCCTTAAAATTCTCTAGACTGCCCTGCCTTAGTATTTTTAAAAGAACCCACCAGTGGCGCCGGTGGTGTAGTGGTAAGCGTGATTAACTCTCACCCCAGCAGGCCTGGGTTTGAGGTGTGGGAGCTGCCTACCTGGCGTCGGTAGCATTGGTACTCAGTACGGAAAACAAGATCGACGGAAAACAAATCAAGGAGAAAAACAGATGGATTTTAAAATTGTTTCGGGGCAGTTATATTGGAATTAGATAAATAATGAAGATCTCGTATTTTTTTGAAAATATTTTTGTTAAATTTTTGACTTGTTTGTAATTGTAAATTTTTTGACGTAAAACAATTTTCAGGATTTTGGTGCATACATTTTAGAGATCCCAGACTTTGGAAAAAATTAAAGATTCTTTGACGAGAAGGAGGATTTACATTTAGAGAATTTAGGAATTCTCAAACTTCCTAGAACACGAGCTAAGGAGACTTTAAGCTTTTCAAGATTCTAAATTTGAAAAGAAATGTAAGTCTTGGGGTTTCATTGTGAAAAAAACTGAGACTTGCTGAAGCAAATAAGATTTCGTAAGAAAGAATTCATTGAAATTCTGAGACGTGGAAAAAATTGATAGATTCTGACGCCCAATTTGAAACATTTGATCTAAACAAAGACATTTTTGCTGTAGAAATGTTTGCATTTTTGAACATTGATTTTTTTACGAACTTGAAATTGAAAAAAAAAATACGTTCAAGGATCGTAATTCTAATTTATCAAAATCGTTCACAAATTTTATTCTTCTCTTTATTCACAAAATGGTTTTGTTCCATCATATAATATTCTCAAAAGATTTTAATTACGACTTACTTAATTGAGCTTACAATGAATGTGGGCATAGATAAAGATTGTACTCGAAAAAAATGCAACAATTTCTTTTGTGTATAACTTGGGTAAAAATTGATGAAATTTGAAGTAAAACTAGTTTAGAGTGTAATGTTTACATGTGACAGCGTTGCCAGATATACCAATTTATCGATATTTATACCGATTTCCAAACTAGATACCAATATACAGATAAAGTTCCTCAGAATACCGATTTTTAATATTTTTTTTGTGAGAGACTTGCATCTTTTTGAATACCTCATATTTTTTTAGCATTCGAAATTCTAAACAATTATCTCTAAAGATGCCTGATAGTCTTTCGACTAATGTATGCATTTCCTCACCGTTTTTGGCTACCATCCATCGAGAAATAGTCGATGGCTGTTTCCGGTAATTCCTAGGGAATCGAGAAATATTTTTTAAACATTAACTTCCTGAAGTATCATCCAGCTTTCCCTGGAATTTTCTTCCACCTTACCTTGGAAGCTTCTTCAGCCTTCGCCTCTTCACCCGCCAGTTTTTTCAACTTTCCTGGAACTTCAAGGATGCTATCAGATTTTTACTTCAGAAAAGTTCAGACTTTTGTGTAAGTTTCGATAAATTAAAGACAGTTTCATTTACTTCTGTTAAAATTCGAAAACCCGGGAATTTCAGAAAAGTCCAGCGAACTCCAGTGAACTTAAGGAAACATCATACATATTTTAGAAACTTCGCAAGTCCAAAGAACTTCAGGGAAATTGAATGGTTTTCAGGAACTTTAGGTAAGCTCAGAGAACATCAGGACAGATCAATTAATTAATGAAATTGCTGAAATTATATTGGAGTTCCTAGAAACTCAGGCAATTTTCGAAAAATTCAGCAATGTCCTGAGGGGCTCATGCAAATTTGAGAAACGTAAGGGAAGTTACATGAACATTAGAATATTGTGAGAACATTTTATGGGAAGTTCTATGTTTTTTAATGGCAGTGTCGATAACATTTAAAAATTAAAAAAATCGGAAAGATCAGAGAACTTCAATGCTGATGTTACAATAAACTCAAGAAAATTGTGAGATCACTTAAGAGATTTCGTAATCTTCAAGAAAGCCCAGAGACCTTCAAAGATGATTAGAGATATTCCGGTAGTCTTATTATAATCAGGGAAGTTCCGAGCACTTCGAGGATGACCAGAGAACTCCTAAACAGCCCCCAATTTCAGGAACATTACAAGACAACTTTTAATGAATTTCGAGGATTTATGGAATATTCCCAAGTGCATTTCAGGAATGTTCCGAAAACTTCAGGAAAATTGCTGAGTCTTCATGGATGTTTTATGAATATCAGGAAAATTTTCTGGATCATTAGAACATCCCCCAGGAATCTTTTTCTTCAGGAATTATGTCCTTGTTTCTTTCGACTGTTCCGTAAGCGCTCTGGCTTCCGACTTTCTTCAGATGTTTCTTCCAATCTACCTTAGGAAGTTTCTGCCAGCGTCTCCAGGAAGTTTCTTTCGTCTTCTCCAGGAAGTTCAATTAATTCTATTATAAAATATTTCGTCTTCTTCTGGAAGTTTGACCATAAGCCAAAGGTTTTTTTTGTTCGACTTCTATTGGAAGGTTTTTCCGAGCTGGAAGTTTCCCGGATGTTTTTCCAACTTTTCTTAGAACTTTCCTCGAACTTCATCTTCGTCTTTCTCTGGATGTTTTTTTCGGCTTCAATTAGAAGCTAATTCAAACATTCCCCGGAGTTTTCTTCCGGAATTTTACGATCATTGTACAAAAGCTAAAATTTTGCTTTGACTAACGGCTTTCTCAGTCTTAAAACATTGCAACGACTACGATCTGCTCGACATTTCGGCCATGAGTTGTGGCCTTTTTCAAGTGAAAATATTGTTTGTCGTTATTGTCAATAGTTTAGTCGTTGTTGTGGCTGGTTTTTCATGTTTTGGTTTCATTTAAAGAAAGCCGTTAAACAAAGCAATTCCCCTCAAGTCCCAGTCGTCACCGTCGTTCAAATTTTCGCTTTCAAAACGGAAAAAATATAAAATTAATTAAATAGTAAATACCGATTTTTTAATACCTTTGATACCGATAAGCTTTAAAAAAATCTGACAACGCTGCATGTGAGAAAACTCTTCACAATCTGTCAAGTGGTTATCGAGATGTCTTCCAAGCAAGAAGTGCCTCGACAAAAATTGAAAGAGTGGTCGTGGAAAATCCTGACCAGTCCCACAAGTGGATCGCGAAACAGTTTGGAATCGACAATCAAGGAGACCCAGACAACCCAGCGGCGAGCTTGCAGCGGAAGAAAAGCGAAGACGACCGACCCCGTGAACGCAAGGAAGGTGAGGGGTTACTTCAAGCGCAATCCGAACCTTTCGATTCGGGACGCGGCCAAGAGGGTCAATTCTTCCTTATGGTTCATCCAGCACACAATGAAACGGGCCGGACTTCATGTCTTCAAGGCATGGAAGGCGCCTAACCGAACCGATAAACAGAATACGGTGGCCAAATCCCCAAATATGGTGCAGCCGAAATGCATCGTAATGGACGACGAGACGTACATTAAAGCGGACGCCAAGCAGATCCCTGAACTGGACTTTTTCATCGGCAAGCCCCGCCTGGATGTTCCGGAAAAGTTCCGGAAGAAGAAAGTCAACAAATTTGCCAAGAAGTACTTAGTGTGGCATGCGATCTGTGGGTGCGGCAAATTCAGCAAGCCGTATACAATATGACTGGCATCATCAACGGCCAAATATATAAAGAAGAATGCCTCCAGAAGCGCCTGCTGTCCTTCTGCTGGTTGTTTTTGTACCGAAGGAGGCAAATCCGCCAAACTCGCCAGAACTTCGCCCAATAGAAACATTCTGGGCGATTATGTAGGGCAAGCTCCGGAAAACGGAAGGTCTTCAAAAACGACAAGGATTTGAAGAAAGAGTGGATGAAAGTGTGTAAGAAAGATGGCGCAAGTGTTGCACATGATTTGATGGGTAGCGTTAAGTCCAAGGTGCGGGCATTTAGCCCAGGAGAGGAGGTTGAATAAACCAACTTTGCAAAAACATAGCTAATATGTGTTTATTTATTCCCTGATAGTTTGAATTTTGCATTTTTTTTCGACTCCGACTCCCCAATTCGTGAAATTCGCTCCGACCTACTCCACAACCCTGTAAAGATGTTTCCAATATCAAAGGTCAGAAGTTGTCCAGTCAAGGACCTTACCGGTTTGCAACATTTTATCGACTTCTTAGAATTTTGTATTTGAAGTTGTCACACAATAAGGCTATGCAATGCTAGGCGAAGAAAGCTCTCAATTAACAATTGAGGAGACAATATATTGCAACCATGGACACTAATAAGTAAAATCTCAACCTCTATCAACAAACTAATTCCGATCTGTAGAGTCACACCACAGTGATGGATCAGCTAATAATAATTATGGATCAATCAATCCAACCTGTTAATGAAATGAAAGTGATCAATAATAATAGATGATCCATAACTGTGAGGTGGCTATAAACTGTAACTGAAACATGCTGAAGTACCATGCAACTCCATCCTCTACTTATTCTTAGAGTGTAGGAACTGGGTACCCAGCGCCGGAGTTAAAAAAAACTCCACTTACCTCTTCATCGTACACCCACTCCTGGTTGCCACCCATCCCGTGGCATCGGACCAGATTCACCGGGCCGAGCGCATTGGACGCGTCTAGGCAGTTATCGTCGGACATCACCTGGTGCCGTTTGGTGTAGGCAAACACCTGATTGCCACCGAGCCCGTGGCAGTAGCTGCTACCGATCTTCTCATTCGACTTGCGGCCCATCGTGTCGAGGCAGTTGCCAGATTCCACATTTCGAATCTATACCACGCGGAGCAAAATGAAACGGAATAATTTCAGTTACCATTGTCGTCGTTCGTGTTATTATTTATGTGATGGAACAAACACCGTTGTTGTCTAGGTACATACCTCGCCCAGGAAGTAGTAATCCAGCGGCATCTGACTCTCGGGGTAGATGTTCTCCAAGTACCAGCGGAAGCTCTTGCACTTTAGCCGCTCGCGAAGTTCCTTCCGTTCGCTGACGTCGCCTGCGGAAGCCTTGCGAGCACCTGTATTTGTGTATGTTCGTTCAATGTTGCAGCATTTTAGGGACGAGAAATGCAAAAATCAACAACGCAAGTAGGGATTGCGATGACGGAGGAAAACAAAAACAAAAAGTAGCGTTATTTCAACAATCGATTTAAATAAATTTGGGTTTTCTGCTTATATGTTTGCTATTCTGGTTCTACATGAAGTGAAAGGATGGGTGTATAAACAGCATGAATACAAAAACACAATATTATGTATCGACACATTCGACGAGCAAGTTTTACGCAAAGGAATCGTAAACTGGGATGTAAGCGGATTCTGTTCAACATCTACATAAAGTATTAACGAATAAAAAAAAATGCAGATAGACCGAAAGCAATACGATTACATGACGAAGCACAGAGGACAGGCATCGATAAAATATATCGACTTGTATTTGCAATTGGGTTTTTTTTTTGCTGCAGAATCATTTAAGTGTGCCATCGGTTTCGAATATCGGCGGACGGACGGTGTGATGACTATGGATTTGTGAATAAATAATGCTCGCATGGAGAAAGAGGGAGATGAAAAATAACAGAATACGAGTGCGTGCTTACGATCGGATTGATTGATTTTACATTGCATATCCTATTTTACAACTTTCGCAGAGGTGGATCGTTCTCCCCCCCCCCCCCACGGTAGTTCGGTATCAGTTCCATATTGGGAGGTGTTTTTAAATAATTGAGCCTCCCGAGAGATTCCAGGCAGAGGCAAAAAAGATGGAATTAATATCTGTCCGAGTTGAAAAAAAAATGTCTGGTGGAGCATTTTTTCACCCAGTAAAGTAAATTAAATTGATTGCTTACTTAATCGAATGTCAATAAGAACTTTTCAGAAAATTATCTGATTATATGGGCTGAATAGGTCATTATTCCGAATTTTAGAGTGAAAGATAAATGTTAAATTTACTTTTATGCATTTTCGAAAAATTCAAAAGCAGTTTTATCGTTGCATCATTTTAGATTGCAAAAAGCTAGCGTCATTTTGTGCAAAATAGCATGAGAAATTGATGAATTCAATGCGTCGAAAAAAAGCTGATTTAGATTTTTTTGAAAATGCATCAAAATAAATTGAACCTTAAATTAATACACTGTTTTAAAAATCGTAAATTTTGAACAAAGATTTAGAGGCAAGGAAATGTTTCAACACATCGTGATGTGCATTAACAGAAGTCTTAAATAATTTTCCATGATTCTGAGGCTTTGACATAGTCTTAGAATGACATTTTTTTTTATTGTTTATTGTTTATTGAAAAATTCAACTGACAATTATTGTCTAAATGAATAAAACTTAAACTAAATAGTTACGGTCAACGGTACGGAAAAGGCTAAGTAGTCGATGACAAAACACGTCAGCTGATACATTGAAGTTGAACATATAAAAAAGTTGTTGAAATGCTGGCTGATTGCTCGAATAGGCTCGTGTTGTGTATAATTCCGGCTCCGTGGTTCCAAAAACAGAAAGTTGCGTTGACGAAGAGACCTCTCAGGGGTATACATATTTAGCTGTGACTGCAGTGTTGGACAGTCAATGTCACCCGTAAACAGCTTTCCAGCGAACATAGCTTGAGCGACCGTCCGTCTCACCTCTAATGGCTCGGTTCCCAGGAGACGGCAACGCTTCTTGTACGGTGGCAAGTTCGTTGGGTCACGCCAGTTGAAACAAACTTGCGTTGAACGGATTCAATTCTAGTGATCCAGCTAGCATAGAAAGGACACCAAACAACTGAACTAGACTCCAATAAGGATCGCACAAGTGAGCAGTAAAGTGACCTGAGGCATAGCGGGTCACGAAACTCGTCGGCAATTTTGAAAATAAAGCCCAATTGTCGATTAGCTCTGGAGATGATGTCATTGTAGTGGATTCTGAAGCGGAATCTGCAGTCCAAGGTAACGCCGAGATCCTTTATGTGCTCTACACGAGCAAGAAGTGGAAGGCAGAGGTTGGCTACACAAAGTTTTAGAACTGATGACGGAATGCCGTCAGGTCCGGCGGCGAACGAGAACTTCAGTTTGCGTGTTGCGGCTATCACCATGTCTTCTGAAATGCGCGGAATAACGAAACTAAACACATCACGTGGCATCCCAACTGTAGCGTCCAGCACTTGTGCCGGCGAAGCTGAACAATCGTAGAACACTTGCCTGAAATGACGAGCAAACAAGTCACATTTTTCTCTTTCGCTATTAGCCGAGTCATTCCCGAGAAACATGGAACAAGGCAACCCGGATTCCTTCCGTTTGGAGTTGACAAACGACCAAAAACTTTTCGGATTCGTGCGAAGGTTCGCTTCCGTGCGTCTCACGTGTCGATTATAGAGAAAACGAATGTAATTTCGATAACTAGGTACGACTCGCAAAATTGAACAGTCGTTTGTAGTACGGCGAGCGAGAGTTACAATACTTTCGGAGGGCGGCAGAGCGTTGACGTTTTAGCACGCGTAGGTGTGAGTTAGACCATGCAGGCTTTAGCGGAGGTCGTCGAGCTTGGACAATGCGGAAAATAGCATCTTCCAGTGCAGCACTGAAAAAATCCACAGCATCATTCACACTAGCGACTGTTTCGATAAATTGCCAATCAATTCCCGCAAGCGCATTGTTCAATGCAACATAATCGGCCCGGCGAAAGCCCAAAGAGTAGAACTCAGATGACGGCGTAAAAAGAATCGGCGTAGGTAAACTAAATGACACGACGATAGTGGGATGATCGGCATCTAGATCAATCAGTGGCTCGACCCGCAAGGAAACAGAAGTGCCCGGCAGAGATGCCAGATCAACGGAAATCTCCGTAGATCTACGGATTTTACAAATTTTTGCGGAAATACGGATCCGTAGGCAAAATCTACGGAATTCGGTACAGTTTCTACGGATTTTTTTCTTCAGTGTACGTTTCCCTTCAGAATGGAATTTTACAATCTGATTCTGAAGGCAAAGAAGCATAAAGTAAAATACACCCCTGCAACTTGTCAACCGTTTTCTTGCTCACTTATTCGATTTTTGAGTATACAAACGCCAAACTGTGCGTGAAACATGGCGGTCTTCGTACTATCTCTTCACTCCGTTGAAAGTTCCCATAATATACAGTCAATCTTTGCATGAAGAGAACAATTTTCGACGGTGCCGTGTGAAGGCGAATAAAAGTCATGTCGAGACCAGTCTTGTAAGCGGTCACCGTAGTAGATACATTTTCTGTGACAATCGACTACTTTTGCTTCCGACACTTGCAAAACAAGCTTTCAAATTACAGTACCAAACTAAAATGTCATACGACAGGCTCTGGCATACGACACTGTCGCAGAAGACCATCACGGATGTAAGTATTTCAGTTTTTCTCATAATAAGAGCTACTGATGTTGTGCTTGTGCAATCAACGTTGTCATAGTAATAACCTTTTTGATCAGAAATGGTTTAATTTACACCAAATTGAGGAATTAGAACGAAATCACATATGTCATATGATAGTCATTTGATAATATTCTTTTTGCTCGAATGTTGTTCTACCGTTTGCGTTGTGTAAGAGAGACGACGCTCTCTTCTCCGTCAGCTCGATGATGATCAGGCCTTCAACGTGTTCATATCACGTCATCCATAAGTCGTCGTACTTGTCCGGCTTTATAAAGGAAACTACGGTTAAAGTGTGGCTTTCTTATTAGATTACGACTCCACTGTACCACCGCTACGGGATCACAATTGATCAGATCGCCATAGATGGTCTTGAAACCCTTGATCCTCAAATTGAGCTGGAAACCATTGCCGTGGATAATGAGACAGAATTGCTGCTTGGGCAACAGGAAACGCTCCTTTGGTATCAGAACAAATGCCTGGAGATCGCTCCCGCGCAAAACAGGGTTCCTCTTTTCCTGCCATTTGTTTCGGCCATCTGCGGAAATTCATGCCAGGGGTTTGGGTGACATATTTCATGATGGCATCCAGTGAAACTCGTCGTCAAGACAGGCGTGTGGCCAAACCACATTTGTTGTATATGACAATGAAAATTCTCCGGCTTAGAGTTTCCGAAGGCTTGCAATGTACTTTTAAGTACACGGCAACCGCAAACATTACACGTGGACCTTAAGGACCGCCTTATTCATGGAGCAGTGCATTTAGCAAAATCTATCCGTCCTCAAATCAGTACCGAATTCAGTACAGTATTGGCAACAAAGGAAGAGAAATTTGTTCACCATGATACGACAATTGGGAAAGCCTACGATGTTCATCACACTCAGTGCAAGTGAGATGAAGTGGCCCCATTTGTTGAATCTCCTACATCGATTGTCAGAAGGACACAATGGCAATGACTTAACAGATCCTATCCAGGAATTGACTGCACTACAAAGAGCAACTCTGATGAATGATGATCCAGTCACGTGCTGCGTGTACTTCAACAAGCTGGTTGACACGATTGAATTTCAGCACCGTGGAAGTCCTCACACGCACATCTTGCAATGGTTGAACAAGGATCCCCGGGAAGCAATCAGTGAAAGTATGCCAAAAACTACAGGTGCAACAATATCATGGTATTCATGCCTGTTCTACTATCGGCCCTTTTCAGGGCCACCAAGATTTTCCAAAAGAGTTAAATTTCTGAACATTTCCCAACTAAAATTCATATCAAAAGCTTCTTTTCAGGGCAATCATAGTCATACTAAAGAGTATAAACAGAGAGAACCCCGCTCAAATTTCTATTCCTACACAAAACACAAGTCCTGCTGCAGTTAACAAATAACATTTATTATATAAGACCACGTAGTCCGACGTCACCATTGTGTACAACCCCAGAGGGCTGTCCCTAGTATTTTTTTCAAAAGTTCTTTCATCGATTTATCATTTAACGTAAAATATCACCTTAGAACTAATAAAATATATCACCTCCCTCTAAAAAAATCCGTAGAAATCCGTAGATTTGAATAAGTCTACGGAATTGCATAGAAAAAAATCTGGCATCTCTGCCGGTAGTGCGGAATCATTTGCCAAGACAAGATCTA